CCAAGTGCCTCGGTATAAAGATTCTCACAGAGACACTAGGGGAAATTAACAGGGCAGTAAATTTACAGCATGGTAAAATAAACATTTCTTTATGCAACAGATAGTTACCTTGTAAAATTCATAGCCACAGAAAGATAGCTAAACAAATATTGAGTCTTGGTAATTTTATGAGTAATAATAAAGGTTTATGTTAACTAAGACATTGATAAAAGTTCTGGCAAACAGATTGTAATAAGGGAACTGTGTTAAAATATGAACAGAAGCCAATAGATGCATGAAAAGAGATTTTTGTCCTGAAAGATACCAAGGAGCAGAAATTGAGATTAAGTGCACTTTTAGCCGAATGACTGACAAGGCTAGTCACCTGCCTGTTCATTCACCTGTGACCTGTCTGAGAGAATCCAAGTAGAAATGCTTATTTTCTTTGTGACATTCCTCATTATGTAAGGGTGACCTGGAAATCACAAGCAAAGTACGAAAGGATGTGGCTTAACTGATTAACTGTAACTTGGCAGACCAAAAGGCTCTTTATTGTGAGGAGAAACATTTATCCAAACCCCCTTCTAGAAGGGAAGGACATTAGAATGAAAAGGTGACCCGGTGCAGTGACACATGTTTGCAGTCCCAGCTACTCAGGATGCTGAGGCAGGAGGATTCCTTCAACCTGGGATTTTGATAGATAGCAAGAACTTATCTCTAAAAAAAAAAAAAAAAATTAAAAGAATAAGATGAAGACATGGTTTTGCTAAAATCTTAACTTGAAAGGATATTCACATAATGATAATAATTATTTAAAAGATAGTCCCCCAAAGAGTACCAAAATGTACACAGAATATTTTAGCCTAAACCCCAGCTGGAATACTCACCAATTTTCACATTGATGGTAATGGAATACTGAAATCAGTAAGCCTACTAACTATACACATTTTCCTCAGAAACTGAATTTTGATGCCCTCCAAATCATGAGAGCTAGCATTTATTTAATAGTTGCTATGTGTCATTACTTTTACATCTATTTTTTTTTTATTGTTGGGGAATCATTGAGGGTACAAAGAACCAGGTTACACAGCTTGCATTTGTTAGGTAAAATCCCTCTTATAATTGTGTCCCACCCCCAAGAGGTGTGTCACTGTGAGCCCCTTTCCCCCTCCTTCTATCTCTCTTTTCCTCCATTTCCCACCCTATACCATGTACTAACATCAATTGTCCTCATATCAGAATTGAGTACATTGGATTCTTGCTTCTCCATTCTTTTGATGCTTTACTAAGAAGAATGTGTTTCACCTCCATTCAAGCTAATACAAGAGATGTAAAGTCACCATCTTTTTTAGTGGCTGAATAGTATTCCATTGTATACATATACCAAAGCTTATTAACCCATTCCTGGATTGGTGGGCACTTAGCCTGTTCCACAATTTGACAATTGTAAATTGAGCTACAATAAAGTCTATTGCAAATGTCCTTATAATAAAATAATTTTTTTTTCTACTGAGTAGATGCCTAGTAATAGGATTGCAGGATAAAATGGGAGGTCTAGTTTGAGTTCTTTGAGGATTCTCCATACTTTCTTCCAAAAAAGTCGTATTATCACTTCTCAGCCTTTTTATTAAAACAAGTGTAGCAAAAAGGTTGTATTAGTTTGCAGTCCCACCAGCAGTGTAAAAGTGTTCCCTTCTCTCCACATCCACGCCAGCATCTGTAGCTTTGAGACTTCGTGATGTGGACAAATCTCATTGGGGTTGGGTGATATCTTAAGGTGGTTTTGATTTGCATTTCTCTGATAGGGTTGATGAGCATTTTTTCATGTGCTTGTTAGCCATTCATCTGTCTTCTTTAGAGAAGGTTCTATTCACATCACTTGCCCAATTATATAAGAGATTGCTGGCTTCCTTTTACATGTATTAATATATGTAATTCTATGAGGTAGATATGCCTTTTATAAATTAGGAAGCAAGATGTCAACAAGATAACAGAATAAAAGGTACCAGACTTTTCTACCTGCCACAGAAATTTCAGCTAGCAGCTACCCACAAACAAAAATAGCTTGGTGAAAACTCACCTGTGTGGTCCACAAGAGCAGTATAAAAATCACATGGAAAGGGTGAGAGAAATAGTCTCACTTTGATCACGGCACCCCCTCCTGCTCCCCTAAGTCAGGATAGTATCACTTAGAGATGACTTCTCAGGGACCATAGTCACTACAGAGGGAAAAGGGGACTGGAGGCAGGCATCCAGGTTCCCTGCATTCTGGGGGCTTCCCAGGAAGCCCACTTTATTCTAACCTCAAGGGAAACACAAGAGGGAACAACACAGCTGGATTACCTGGGTCAAGTGGAAGCAAAGCCAAGGAAGTACAGTTCACAGCAACCAGCACACGTATCTTGGTAAGTGTGTACTTGGCAGAGGTGATGCCCAGTCAAGGGTTTAAGTGTATAACCTATAGCTAATAGTGTGGCCCACCCACAAAGTTGACCTAGTAACTTTCAGAAGTGAAGAGAAGTTCTATGTGTCTTGAAATCTTAGATGGGCAACATCCAGGATAAGCCTCTGACATATCCTGGTGCTGCACTCAAGGAGGGAGATGCCATAGCAAATTTTAGAAAAGAGCACAGACTAGATTTGCCATACTCAAAGGTTCAAACAGTGCTCCTATCAGCTTCAAAGCCCACATAAAGTTCCCACAGAGGCAGGGAGGCAAACCTCAACCATGCATTTCTACTGAGCACAGCAGCTAGACCCACACATCCTAAATAGCAACTCCACCGAGCCTCAGGGCACCTCTTGGAAACCGGTCTAAGAGCTGAACTCAAAAAAAGAAAACACTCTGTGGCTGAGCCCAATCAGAGGTGTGTCAGGGCCTATCTAGCAACTCAGCCTGACTACAGAACTCAGACAGTGGTTTGGATCATTAGCAGAGCCCAATCAGTCCCAGCCCCCCAGAAACTGAGAGTAAAGATAGCAGCCATGGCAATCTAAAAAAATCTAAAAGTAAGCTTGACTAACCCCGAATCACTAGACTACACTGCCCATTCAGAATCTCTAGACTAGAGTAAATAGTGAAGGTCTCTCCCTGCCAAAGAGTATTTGTAAAAGCCAGAAATTGTGTATGCCTTCTCAAATGTGCAGTCACTAATTCAACACAAGGGCTACAAAATGCATAAAATCATGATATCTCCAAAAGAAACAGATCCAAAAATGAACCCTAAGGAAAGGAAAATCTAGAAAATGAAAGACAAAGAATTCAGAATTGTCGCAAAGAATTTCAGTAAATTATAAAAATATATGGATTTAAAAATTAAATGAAATTTGGAAATTATAATAAAACAAAAGTTTGACAATAAAATCAAAATAACAAAAAATATAAATCCTAGAGATGAAGAAGACAGTGACTGAACACTAACAGGAAACTTCAACAGCAGGCTTGGCCAAGCTCAGGGAAAAGTTGGTGAGCTTGAAGGTAGAGCATTTGAAATTATCTCACTGGAGGAATAAAAAGAAGAAAGGAATGAAAAAAGAATAAAGAAAGACTATGGGAATTATGGGACACCATAAAGAGACCTAACATACACATACTAGAAATTCAAGAAGGAGAAGAAAAAAGATCCAGAAAGCATATTTGGAGAAGTAACATCTGAAAATTTTTCTATCTGGAGAAAGATGTTTCAGGAAGCTTAGATATTTCTAATGAAATTCAATTTAGAGAGGAGTTAACCAAAGCACATAATAATAAAACTATCAGAAATCAAAGATGGAGAAAAAATTTTGAGAGCAGCAGGGATAAAAAATATGTTACATAAGAGGATCCCAATATGACTATGAATAGATTTCTCAGAAGAAGCCCTGCAGGCCAAGGGAGAATAAAATATATATCATGTGCCAAGTGGGGGGGCAGTTAAGAATAAGAACCCTGCCAGTTAAGAATATTTTACCCAGCAAATCTGTCTTTCCCATAAGAAAGAGAAATAAAATCTTTCCCAGATGAACAAAAGCTAAGAGACTTCATCACCACTAGGACTGCCTTAAAGAGATTGCTAAGAGATGTTCTTTAAGTTAAAAAAAATTCTGCTAATCAATGACATAAAAATTAAAGAACTTACAAATTAAATGATGTAAGTAATAGAGAGCTATATTCATAACACTTTCGAATTGTAATAGTGATGTGGAAAGAAATTTTATTTCTAGTGTATTAAAAGAACTGTTGATAACTACAGGTAAAAAAATTGTCAAGAGATACATATTACAAAATTATGTAAGACAGAAAGAACATAAATTTTGAGAGGGAGAATAAAAGTGTATAGTTGTACACATTCAAAGTTGTTATCAGCTTGAAATAGACTGTTAAAACATGGTCTATGTAAGCTTCATGATAATCACACACAAAAAAATCTATAGTAGATGCACAAAACAAAAACAGAAAATATTGAAAGCATACCACCAGGGAAACCATCAAACTACAAAGGGAGATACCAAGAGAGCAAGAAAGAAACAATGTATCTATAAACCTATCAGAAAACAATAAAATGACAATAATAAGTCCTTATCTATCAAGAATTATCTTTTATGTAAATGCATTAAATTTTCTAGTTAAAAAACATTGAGTGACTGAACTGATAATAACTTAGACATGACTGTATGTTGCCTACAGGAGACTAGCTTTAGCTCTAAGAGTGCACATAGGCAGAAATGTAGGGCTGACAAAAGACAATCAGTGCAAATGGAAACCAAAGACAGCAAGGGCATCTGTATTTACAGCAAAAAAAAAAAAAAAAAAAAGAGAGAGAGAGGGAGAGAGAGACTTGTCACTAGAGACAAAGAAAGGTATTATATAATAATGAAAGAATCAATTATGTCAAGAAAACATAACAATTATAAGTGTATTAGCACCTAATACAGGAGTACCTAAATATATAAAGTAAATATTAACTTATTTTTGGTTTTAAATTTTTTTCCTTTTTTAATTACTTTTTTTAATTCAGTCTGCCCAGAGATCATCAAAAATTGCTGGTGCCAAGAAAAAAAAAATTGTCAGTGCCAACTATGTTGCAAGTCCTCATGACAGGGTATTGGGAAAGTTTTTAATTAACAATAATTTTGCTTTGGATAACCCTCATTGGCTATGATACTGCCATTGTATAAAGTTATATAGGGTAAGTATTAAGGGATCTAAAGGGAGAAGTAGACATGTTGTAATCCATAGAAGCAGAGAGGAAAATGAAGGTTAAAGGGTTGGTAAGGGAGGGAGATTGGGTCCAAAGATGCAAAATTTCAGTTAGATAGGAGGAAGAAATCCAAGGTATTAATTACATCACAGTGACGATAGTTAAAAGCATATTTTGTATTGTTGAAAAATGCTAAGAAGATAGATTTTAAGTGTTTTCAACACAAAAATTGGTAATGATGTGAGATAAATCATGTATTAATTAGCTTGGTTTCACCATCCCACAATATGTATATGTTTAAAAACATCATATTATGAATGATAAATATATATAATTTTGTCAATTAAAAAATAAAAGGTTAAAAACATTGAATGCTGCAGGATATCCTTCTTGTTCTACTCTTAAAGCTTTGGCTTAGAGAACCACCTCTGCCATGTGGTGTTGGCCAGACAGGTCAAAGAACCAGCCTAAATTCAAAAAGAGCAGAGATAGGCTGCATCTATTGGTGATAGGTGTGGTATGTCTGTGCAGTGGCATGTATAGACAAAGAATTATTGGTGGCCATCTTGCTGACAAGCTACCATGTCTCCCAAATAAATTACTTGGAGAGGTTTAAACTCTTATCTAAATGGTCTATTTCTGGGGGAACCCAGCTAAAGGTAATGTCATACACAGGTGGCACCTGAGCTGGTGCTCACCGCTGGAGACCCTCATTTCATTCCATCCATGTAAATTTGCTTCCAGGCTCATCTTTGGAGACTGGGGTCTTCTGCTGCACCGAGCTGCCTCTAGCTGTGCCCTAGATGACCAGCAGTGAAGAAGACAGGGGCCATGTCTCTGCTCACCTGTGCCTGGGAATTCTGGGCCATGCCAGCTGATGCCCATTGTGTTTCCATGAGCCAATTGCTGGACAAGATCATGACAAATAAAGGGTGGGCAAGTTACTCCAGGAGTGGGGGCCATCACTACGGGCACCACAAGAGGTCCCTAAATCTGAGAATGGACAGGTCATTGGTGATGGTCCAGCTCTTCTGTCTCTAGTGGAGCTTTCACATCCCTGAGTGAACCCGGAGCAGTGAATTTCCTGGGAAAGAGGACCAGGGTGACAAGAATTTCAGTTCTGGTGCCAGAACACCCTCTGCTCTGTCAGGGCTCTTGTGTACCTAGGAGCCAAGGCTGGGAACAGGAAAAAGAGCTCCCCCAGCAGAACTGATGGGGTCACCCAAGCTCTTATTCCATTGCCTTCTCTTTAGCATTACATGGATTCTCTGGGATTTTCCCATGGTGGAAAACTCTGTTCCATTAGCAGAATTCGAGTCCTCAAAACCAAGTGCACTCTAGGTAGGTGGAGAACCAGTGCTCTAGCCAGTGCCCTGCCCTCTACTCCCATTGTGGTCCAGCATGACAGGGCCCTAACTGTGGTCACTGTGGAGGGAGATGTGGGAACCCAGGTCTCAACACATCTGCATGGACCAAAGAATGCTGATGGCAAAGGAGAAGCCTCAAGGTGGGTTCCCAGCAGGGCTGAACTTGCCTTAGTCCCACCTGCATCCACTGTCAGGGTTCCCTGCCCTCCAAGTGATGCCTATTTTAGGGTGATAAGCTCTACCCAACCTCTTCCCCTCCAACCAGTTCACTGATAACAACTAAAGTTGATATATAATACTAAAAATTAAAGAGATCCTCCATTTTTTCTACAAATTTCAGAGCATGAAAATCCCATTCTATAGACTACACATCTCAGAGTAGACTAAGTCACTAGCGGTCTCTTTCCTTTTGGTGTCCTGCCACCAGGGCCCCTTGTCATCCCCTGCTAGATGTTGACATGGCAACATTCCTCAAATGGCAGGCAGCTACCTGTTCTTTGAGTGGCTTAGAGCTGAGGTTTGCAGTCTGGCCAGGAGCTGGCTTTGAAGGCTCCCTGTTAATGATTCTTTTAGGAGGTGTGAGGGAGAACTGCAACTTTGGCCACTGGAATGGGGACTGGATTTCAGGAAGCAAGTCACCCTAAGAGAAAAATCTGTTGCATGCCCATTGACTTCAGGGTACAAACGAAGATCTGTGTTTGTTCTCTTTCATCCTCCACATCACACTCTCTTCCTCGTTTCCTTCTCAATCCTCAACTGGCCAGGACTTGGGACTGGCTCCCTGGTTTCCTTCACAGGTTGCAGGTGTGAACTCCCTCCACTTCCTCCCTTCCCTTCTCCTGATCCTTTCAGGGTCTTGACCCTCTGTCTGTCTGTCTTTCCTTCTTTTTCTCTGTAGCACTCTTGTCTCATCCCATACTCTATTCTTAATGTTTCCTTGGAGCACATTTCAAAGGTTGCCTTCTTTATGTGAAATGTAAATATCAGAGACTTTATAATTACAGAGCAGGAACAGTGGCTTCTATTGTTTATTGTATCATTCTTCCTCCCTCGTGGATAAACTTGGATGAAGAGAAAATCATAGCAGGAAATTTGTTCTTCCATTAGTAATGTGGATAACAAGTAAAAGACAAGGCACAGAATTCAAAGATTTGGGAAATTGCTTTAATACACATTTTATTGTGTCAATTCAGAAATCAGACTTAAAGTGCTACCAGAAGGACATATGTCAAAATTAATTCAAACTGCGATCCCACAATTGCCTCTCTGTCTGTACTAATGCTTCAGAGAATTTGGTTCAGGATCAATCTCTTTTTACTGACATTAACATGCCAGTTTGCATTAAGAGGCATTTCCTTATCTTTTCATCACATTCAAATCATAATTGTATTAAAGGATAAGCATACATGTTGAAAATATAATGTTAGCAACTATTATAATGATTCTTTTTTTTTCAGTAATGTAGTTTTCTGACAACATCAGATGTATATTACTAGGCAGTGAATGGTGTTGCTGAGTAAGATTTAAGATACACTTTGTCATAGTTCTTACAGAACTGACCTGGCAGCCCATTTCTGATTTATACAAACTCTCAAATGATGCAATTCTGTTTTGATTATTATGTATGTTTTTAAATCCAATTACATTTTATCTATAAATTTTTAAATTCAAATAATAAAAAATTTTCCCATTTAGTGGTACAAAAAAGAACATTTATGTAAGAAACACATTTTATACATATTTTTAATATTTAGGAAAGTACTTTCTGAAATACTTTCATCTCAAAATATAATAGGAATTAATGATAAAGGACAGTGATCATTCTCAGTCATGCAAAATGACTCACTAAATTATTTGCCAAATGGATATGTTATGTGATCTCACCTTGAGTAAAAGTAATGGGAAAATTTAAAAATACACAGACATACGCACACACATAATTCTAAGAAAGTATCTTCAAAACGCCCTCTATTCTGGGACCTCCACTTCTGAGAAGATAGATTTGACACATTTTTTTTCCTGTTCTTTCCCACTAAATATACATAAAATTCCTGGTGTCTACGAAAAGGAAAAAAAAAACTAAGAAGATTCTGAAAGGCTGAGACTGGCTTAGAATCCTAGGACTCAAAGAATTACATGGGTGTGAGTTTCCTGGCTTTTCTTCTTTCCTCATTGTGCTGGGCAAGCTGGTAGCCAGCAAAGACAAAAATAGTCTCCCCGACTCCATCCCCCTGGAAAAAATCCTGTTCCCTTTAGCCAAAGGACATGGAAAGGGGCAGTACAGCAACACTGGAAACTTCTGGACAACAATTCCAACTCCAGCCAAATACCACAGAACATGTGTGGGCCCCATCCTTGCCTGTGCCCCAAAAGCTTAATGGAGAGAATAACCTTCTGTCCCAGACAGGTACACTGAGGTGCTCTCACCCCTGCTGGCTGACACCAGAGAACACCTAGTGAAGAGTCAAGAGTAGCCAGGGAAATGAGACCAGACCCCCCCACAAAAAATCATAGAGATTGAACAGGAAGAAATGAAACTTTCCCTCTTTGCACATGGCATGCTAGTCTACATAGAAAATATCAAGGATTTACAAAATCACCCCTAGAACTAATTGAGTTCAGTATTTGTATAGAGTAGATGTGACCATGTGGACCTGAAATTAAAAACACAATACACTGTTCACAATGATGTAAAACATGCAAAAGGGGCAAATCTAAAAAACTTGTACACAAATTACATGTTGAAAGCTATAGAGCACTGATGAAAGAAATCTCATATTTAAATAAACAAGCCCATTCCAAGATCATGTACTGGAAGACTTGACATTGTAAAGATTCAACTCATTAAAAAATGATGTACAGATTTAACACAACTTCTGTGCAAATACCAGCAATACTTTTTGTAAGTAAAGACAAGACATTTTATTATAAAATGTATATGAAGAGGCAAAGAAACTAGGACATCTTAAAAAAAAATTGGAAAAGGCACTGGATTAGCTAAAACAATTTTTAAAAACAGTTGAATGAAGTGGCCAGGATCATTCTACTTGATATGAAAATGTATTATTTTGCAGACAGAATGGGGACTGAAAACCTCATTCTTGGCAAGGGAAAACACCCCCAGAAAAAGGGAAAAAATAGAGAAATAAGCTGAGCAAAGCAGAATTAAAGCAGTTTAGATAGTTTACTTTTAAACCAGTAGCTAAATTACTTATCTGAGCAATTTCTGCTTTTGCTAGAAGCCAAAGGGATACGGCTTGCAAATACTCCTGCTGTAAACACTCTGAAGAAGAGAATGGCCATAAAAGGAAGCTTCCTGCAAGGCCTGGGGAGGAACATTAACCAGGTGGTCCCCTGTCCAGGCAATAGTCCAAGCATATACCCATTGGAGGGGGTTGTATTATGGCCAGGGAAGAGATCAAGGGAACAGCTCAAGCCCTGAAATATGGGCAGGGGGGCTTGTACCTTATCACAGAGTAAGATGCCTCCTGTTGGAGATCAGAGCAAAATTCCTCTGTTCCACTCATTCTTCAGAGGAGACTGATGCCATTGGGGCATCTACTCCATGGAGGACTAAAGAGGATTAACCTCCCCCAAGAAATCTGTGTGTATGA